TGTCTCCCTGCCCAGATCCTCTTTCCCCCCCTTTGCTGGTCCCAGCTGCTCACCACACCCAGCTGCAGACTGTGCTGCTTTGCCAGCCTCCAGCTCCTTGCATTGCTCCTCTGACCCCTTTGGCTCTGGTCACTGTAGGTCTGCCTCTTAGCACAGCTTGCACTCCTTGGGCTGTGTGTGTCTGGCTCTGTCACTGCAAAAACAACAAAAGGTCTGGTAGCACTTTATAGACTAACGAAACATGTAGATAGTATCATGAGCTTTCATGGGCACAGCCCACTTATTCACAGGGTCTGCGCTCTGTGGGCTGAATGGGCCTCTAGCTCTGTCACTGCAGGTCTGCTCCTCAGTGCAGCCTAGACCCATTGCTACTCTTCTTAGCTCTCTCGCTCTTTGACTCAGACCCAGAAAATCCCAGCACACACGGAGAATGGAACCTGCCTCTTAATTCCCCCATTGGCCTGTCCAACCTGTCAATCAGGCAGACCTGGCATGTTGGCTTCTTCCCATTGTCCCTGGGGTCTGTCAGTCTCAGGGCCCTGATTTCTCATGGACCCTTCCCCTTTTGGTATTGGGAGCTGGCCAACCAAAAACTCCCACTGAGTTTTAGTAAGGAGCTAACAGTCTCCTTACATTTGCTTCAGCCTATATCTCATTCGGCACTCTTTTCAAAGCATCTTCTTGTATAGGCATATATTTTCAGAAGCTCACTTGGAAAAAAGGCCAACAGAAAGTTTCTTTTGACACATACACTGAAGTGGATAGAAAGTTTCATCACGTTACTTTGCACACTACCTAGGAAAGTGTGCTTTCTGAGCCTGGAATTGTCTCCTGAAAAGTCCTACATTATCTTTGACATTTACCATACTCAAGAATGGCCATACTGAACATGACCAAAGGCCCATGTAGCCCAGTATCCTACCTTCTGATATTGGCCAATGCCAGGTGTCCCAGAGGTAATGAACAGAACAGGTAATTATCAAATGATCCATCCCCTGTCACCTATTCCTAGCAAACATAGTCTGGGGACACCATCTCTGCCCCTCCTGGACTAATAGCCATCGATGGACCTATCTTCTGTGAGCTTATCTAATTCTTATCTAATCCGTGTTGTAGTTTTGGCCTTCATAATATTCTCTGGAAAGGAGTTCCACCATGTTGATAGAGCACTGTGTAAAAAAAACCCACTTCCTTTTGCTGCCTATTTGGTGCCCCCTAGTTGTTGTGTTATGAGGAGTAAATAACACTTCCTTATTTACTTTCTCCACACCAGTCATGATTTTATAAACATCAATCATACTCTTTAATCATCTATTTTCCAAACTGAAAAGTTCCAGTGTTATTAATCTCCTCATACAGAAACCATTCCATACATCTAATCATTTTATTTGCTTTTTTTTGAACTTTTTCCAATTCCAATATATGGTGTTTTGGGGGAGAATGTTTATTTTTAAGATAGAGTGACCACGTCTGCACGCAGCATTCAAAATGTGGATGTACCATGGATTTATAAAGAGGCACTATGACATTTTCTGTACTATTTTCTATCTCTTTTATAATGATTCCCAACATTCTGTTTGTTTGGGAGCTTTTTTGACTGCCAGTGCACACTGAGTGAACGTTTTCAATGAACTATCCACAATGACTTCAAAAGTTTTTTTTCTTGTGTGGTAACAGGTAATTCAGATCCCATCACTTTATATGCATGGTTGGGATTGTGTTTTCCACTGTGCATTACTTTGCATTTATTTTCTTCTGCCATTTTGTTGCCCAGTTATCCAGTTCTGGGAGATCCTTTTGTAGCTTTTTGTAGTCTGCTTGGGACTTAACTATCTTGAGTAGTTTTGTATCATCTGCATATTTTGCCACTCCTTTCCCCATGTCATTTATGAATATGTTGAATAGGATTGGTCCCAGCACCTCTCTCTAGTCTGAAAACTGACCATTTATTCCTACCCT